TCTCTCTCTCTCTCTCTCTCTCTCTCTCTCTCTCTCTCTCTCTCTCTCTCTCTCTCTCTCTCTCTCTCTCTCTCTCTCTCTCTCTCTCTTTTCGATCGCCTTCCTTTTGAACTAAAAGTCATCGCCTTTTATAGCCTCTCGTCCCCGTACCGGTGACGTAAACCGCCTGCGTCCGCGAGGACGGTCGACGCCCCCGCCAAGGGGAGAAAGCTTAGATTTCGTCATCCTCCCCCTACGCACCCACTTTTGAGAGAGAAGAGTTGCGACGATTGTTGTATGGATTCGGTGTTGGTTCGGATGACCGGGAACGCGGGATCTTGCCCGTGTTCATCACGTACCTCCGGTCGTCTCATTTCGCTCTCGACCTTCCCCATCATAGATGACGACAGCGTCTACTGCGATGCGGACGTACGGCGCGCGCTCAGGCGGTCGGAGCAAGTGTGTTGGCAAGACCCGCCTCGGGCTTGTGAGATAAGGGGGAGCGGGTTTGTGTTGATTGACCACTTTGATTCCCCGACTCTAATATTGCCTTATACGGGTTTAACGGTGTTGCCCTGGTYGGCCGCTCACGCCGCGYGGCGGCCGCAGTTTGATTGTCGTTGGTGTCACCAGGGGGACTCGTGTTCGTAGCGACAGCTGGTCCTGGGTTACGAGGGAGCGACACGTTTCCCCGAGCTTTCCMGTAGTGCGGGGGCGCTGCCCRCGCAATTTTGAATTCAGATGCCGGCGAGTCCTCCCGCCGCTTTACCCTCCCGGAAACTTTCGCACGGGCTCTATGAGTCCGACGCCGAGGCTTGAAGGCCTCGAACCAACCACCTCTACAGCAAAAGACCCGAGGGTTCGGCCCCTTCGTGAGGCCGATGACGAGGCCTGAAGGCTTCGAACCCACCACCTATCCCCGGAACCCATGACGGCCGGAGTTTTCGCCGTTTGCCGCCATGGCCTCCTCCCCTTGATGCCTTTTCCCGTCTCGATGCACGACGGCAATTCATGTTCACAGAAACCCTTCTGATTTTATCGTTTCGGAGGAATCTGACACCCGCGGGACTTCGCAACGACAGTTCGACTCCGAGAAAAACCTCGGCTTAGAAACGAGAGCCTCCCGTTCCGTCTGGGAGACTCAACCCTTACGGCCAAAAATCCTCGGCCACGCCCCTCCTAGAACTCTGATCGGCGACCCCATACGGGAAGCCGCGAGGGGGCGTGAGGTTGCGTATCACAGGCCGACCCCCTCTTCCATAGCGAAAAAGAAGACAGCAATTCTTTTTTGTTTTTAAATCGGTCCAAACGGTAGTCCAGGAATGTCTGCTTTCGGTGGACAGTGTGTGAAGGCCGGCACGGTACCGTAACCCCGACGGTGTGTGTCCTGCGGCGGGACCCACAAAGGGGGACACACCACCTAACCAATCACACTGTTCGCACGGCCACACAGGACACCACGCCGAATGGACAGCACGAAACCCGACCCCGCACACCCGCCCACAACAACCTCCCGCTTTCCTCGAAAAAGCACCTCAAACACCGGGCAAGTAGGATTCCATTTTACTTGTACGTCCCTTGCGGACCGGCTCCGCTGAAAGTGGTTCTTTTGGGTTCTTCCAAAAAACGGTAGAAGTCGGATCAGGCCCTTAGTCTGTGAGGACGCTATGCCAGGCTTGGGACAAGTATGTGGGGTGCAACCTACACCAACCAATTGTGCTCAGGGGAAATTGCAGGCTGACAAAGTTGAATCTGCAACCTGCCCGTTGCAACATAGGAGCTCTGCCCACTGAGCTACCACACACTCGCTTAGCAACTGACCGTCTCAAAGGTAAGACGCTAAGCATGCCACAGGCACTACCGTGGGGGCAAGGGGAGTAGAACCCATGACCTCCTGAGTGCCGCTTGAACGCCTAGCTACACTCAGTTGGTACGTCGAGGAAAATCCTAGTGTGAGTACGCTTTGAGGTTGTGCGAAGGGAACAGGCGAGTAAAACAGGGATAAGGAGTAAGATGCGGTTTCTCGGGCGCGGTCTGTGACCCTGTACCCGATTTCGCAAGCTTACCCATGTTTTTGGGTAAGCTTGCTTACCCATCATGTCTTTGGTGTGGAGAAAGCAATTACTATTTGTTAGCGTTGATGTGGGCATTTCGTCATGTCGTATGATGAGTGATTGCAGTTGAACGAACTAAGGTGGGTGTGAACATTCTGTATTAGGAGGAACATGTTCTTAGAACAGAGGGTAAAGACTTAGTTGTTTAGCCATCCATCAATCGCGCCTACAATCTGTAGGGGTCAGTGTCAGGTAAGACGTTACCTCTGATACTTTCAAAAGGCGCGCACGTGATGATTTCAAAATCACTTTTTTTCCCCCCCCCTTTTTCCTTCCAATCGTGTAGTTTAAGGTTCGGACTGCGCAATTTCTGCAACGAATCTCCATCGACCTTGGTTATGGTCATGTGCGTTACGGGGGCTTTGAACATACGGGGAAGCAGCGGCGGGGGATGGGCCGCGCGACTCTCTCCGACGGCACAGCTCTCTCTCTGGAAAAAAATGTTTTCCGCTCACATCTAATCAACCGCGCCTCTCGCCCTGCCCTGTTCATTTTTCGTGTGCTCGGCTCCTCTGCGTCTCCTCACACTGCCGGTGATGATCAGCGGTATTTAGGACGGAATTGACTTGCTCCATCCGCCTCCATCTCCTGAGAACTCGCCTTTCCCGCTGCCCTGTTGATCCTTTCATTTGTGTCTGCGCGGCTGGGTTTCGCACAGCAGAGGAAGGTGTCCCGGAAGAAGTAGTCGGAGAGAGCAGACGGGAAGGACGAGTATCCATAGCCGCGGAAACACGAGGAGCAACCGCTGTGCGCGGAGATGGAAAGGCGCGCGGGAAATTCACTGCGCGCCACCATAGTTCGCTTCCCTCGCGGAGCTCGTCTGGTCTGGTGCGTGGAGGTGAATAGTTTCTCATCGAGATTTCTCCGCCGAGGGGACTATCTCGTGCATTGCATAGATTGCCTTTCTCTTTTTTTTTTTTTTTTGGTAGATTATAGTGTGTAAACTGGCGATCAATGGAGATTACGACGATTGGGTGCTAGGGCAGCAGTAATTAGGTCAGTTAACAAGAGCGTGGGGGCGCAAATTTGGCGGGAAGAGCGTGGGGCGCAAATTTGGCGGGAAGAGCGTGGGGACAAGGTTCGCGCAAATTCACGGGAATCCGAGATCTCGTCTCCGTGATGCGGCGATCACCTTCGCTCCTTGCCGCCTTTCTCCTGCTGCTGTTGCCATGTTTCTTCACTTCGCAATATCCGGGGCGGGGTGGTGGCGGTGGCGGTGGCGGCGACGGCGGAGGCGGCGGCGGCGGCGGCGGCGATAGGGGAGAGGTAATAGATGGAAGAGGTGCTACAGGCGGAGAAGCGGGAGGACGAGCAGCATCGACATCGGAAATTGAGAGCGCAGCGACGTCATTGCCGTCCACGCGGCGCGCTGAGGACGATGATCATCTTCATCATTGTCTTCGCCGCCTTTTCCGCATTCCTGAGGCGTCAGAAGGGCGATTACTGCAGGGGTTCTACGGAACATCCAATATATCTACCATTGATACTGCCTTAGTAGCTAATGGTACCAGCGTCGTGAAGTTCCCGGGAGAGAGTCCGTTCACGACTTTTTGGAACGGTTCTAAAATATGCGTGGGCGCAATCGACGACGTCGCCCTCTCTTGCAACGGCACGGTGTTGTACTACAGGCTGTCGGAAGCATGCGCGGACACCGTACTTCGAAAAATCACAAAGCGCCGCTACTCTTTTAGACAAGCCAAACCGGGTACGACTACGGCGTTGGAGAGAGGTGGACGTTTGCTTAGTTACTGGTGGCCGGCTGCGAATGCAAGCGGGAGAGCGAATATGACCGCCTTTGTTTTTGAGGATCCGTTGGTCTCTGATCGGATCAATCCGATGATGAACTTCATTTCCAGCATGGATGTGACTAAGTCTGATACGCACCTGGCCGTCTTTCCGACGGCAATCGGCATCGGCAAGAGAATGATAGTTTTCATCGAGATCGCCAGCGGAGATAGGACGGCAATCGAGGTGTCCGACGTGGACTCGCCAGGAAGTCTCGCGTTCGCTCGGCTTGCTAATGAGCGTCTGTATATCGCCGACACCGCTGCGCCTTATCGCATTCTCTCTGCGCCCATGTTACCTGGAGCTGATCGTATTCCCATGAGTAGCACGACTGTTTTCGCGCCGGAGGCCAATTTCCCCAAAGACGGGACGCCCAACATAACAGAGACGAAGTTCGCGGCGCAAAGCTTGGACTCACAAGGGAGGTGTCTGTACTTCAGCGACTCGAACAATCTCACGGTTTGGAGCCTGGACTTGACATCTCCATCATCAAGAACGTCGTCACCGTCGGAATCGCCAATGTCAAGAAACGCCACGCATGTCGCGGGATCAGGAAAGGAAAAGATGGAAGATGGTCCCGGTTTGAGCGCGTCGTTCCAGTCTCTGTCGCATCCGGTAGTAACTCGAGACGGGTGCAACGTGTTCGTTGCGGATGACGATACGGTTCGCTGGATAAAACTCAGCTCGCCCTGCTCTACAGCTCTGGAAGTGACATCTGTTGCGAAGGCTGAGCCTACAAGCTTCCGGAGCTTGGCGCTCTTCGATAATGGGACAAGCAATCCGCTCCTATACCTAGGTACAATGGACGGGCAAGTATACAAGCTGGAGATTAACAGGGCTGCGTTACATTCATGTGGTAGTGAGGGGCCGATACCGTCTCCCCCCTCGAGCAGTCCACTCCCTTCCCCCGTACCGCCTCCGAATAGTTCCCAAAGCTTCCCACTCCCCCCCTCCCCTCCCTCTTCTAGTAGCCCTCCAGCAGCGCAAGGCTCGAACAGTTCGAAATTGCGAAAGGAGGACAATCTGTCTCCCGCCCTCATCGTGGTTCCCGTTGTGTGCGGCTTGGCCGTCCTCCTCATCGTCGGAGTCGCGATCGTTTACTGCAGGCGCAGTAACCGACCACCGGAGGCGATACCAGTCACTCAATCTACCACCCACATCCCGTCATTGATGCTGACCACCGACACCGTCCCGCTTAACCCGGCCGTTGTCAGAGCTTTCGCGCTCACCGATCTCCGATTCTGCACGAATGGTTTCGATCAGAGTTATCTTATTGGCGACAAGGGAGCGTTCGGGGAAGTGTACTGGGGTTCGCTGGGAGGAACTCAGGTGGCAATCAAGGTAATGCACGGGGAGCTGACGGCTGCCAAGCGCAGGCAGTTCGTAGCGGAGGTGAATACTCTCAGCCGCCTTCACCACGCCAACCTCATCCAGCTCATCGGATACTGCGACGACGGGAACCGGTGCATCCTGGTCTACCCTTATTTCGCAGGCGGGAGCTTGCACTCACGATTACACAAGAGGGTGGGGTTGCGCGGAGCAGCGCCCCCGCTGCCGCTGACGCTGTCGCAGCGACTGTCGATCATTTTGCAGATCGCAGAAGGGCTTCGGTATTTGCATTGCGGCGCTAATCCGAGAGTCATTCATCGGGACGTGAAGAGCAGCAACGTCCTCCTCAGCGATGGTGCTGACGGCAGCTTGCAAGTCGTRCTCGCCGATTTCGGCACGGCAGCCATCGCCCAGAACGTCTTSGAGACGGGGCACGAGAGCATGGTGAAGACGTGTCAGCTGGCGGGGACACGTGGCTACATCGCACCCGAGTACGTGCTGAGAGGTCSGCTGACGGCCAAGATCGACGTGTTCGCATTCGGAGTCGTCGTGTTGGAGTTGATGACCGGAAAACCGGCGATTCTGCGGCAATCCCCGGTTGATGGCGACTTTCAAGCGCTCGCGGAATGGGTAAGAGCACTTTCCCGGCGTYYAAACATGTATGCCATTCTCGGCACGATCATTGACCCGTGCTTGAGGAGTGTAGTGGAGACGAACGTCGTCTTCTGGAATATGGTCATGGATGTGGTTAATCTAGGGATAGCCTGCTCCCAAC